CGCTCGCTACGATGTACTCTGATTCGCACGTTGAATCAAGCTACGGTTTCCTGCTTGGAACTTTTTCCATGTCACTGCTCCTCCATTTAGGGTAAAGACCCAGCCCGACTGCGAACGGTAGTTGTCCCTGTCGGTCTAAAGCTGGCGTCACTATACCCTCGCACCTTCAAGTCATCACTCCCTCCAAGGAACTAGAACCATTCTTTCGTCCTCCGAAGGTACTTAAGGATGTTCTTCACCGCAATCCAATGTGCTTTGCCAGGGTTCCCTTGATATCTGCTAACCATGCTCAAAGCGAAGGCTACATCAGGGCGAGTACAAGTCATAGCGTACATGATTGAGCCAACTGCGGAAGCGTATGGTACTCGGCTCATTTCTGCTATCTAGCTTCGGTACTCGGACTTTGAGTCTTACTCAACTTGGCATTTCCTTGTATCGGTAGTTCTCCCTTCTTTTGAGTTTTCCATACTAAAACGTTTTAGTACCTTCTCCAAGTAAGTATTCTGACTAAGTCCAATTAGTTCTTACTTCTTTCTCTTACTATCCTTATTCCCAAAAATGTAAAGAAGCCTCTCCGAGGTCCTTCATAGCGAAGCACTTCCCGAGCTAGGACTAACCTCCTGCAGAGTCGGGATGTCGTTTCCTATGAGTAATATTGTCATCGACATATAGAACGAGGAAGCTTACTATACTCCCACTGGCTTTGACATATACACAAGATTCGTCTTCGCTTCGTACAAATCCAACTCTTTGACTTTCTCATCGAAGCAAAGATTCCATCTGCGAGACGCTTGCTTAAGATCCATAAATGGACTTCTCAAGCTTACACACTCTATTGGATGCTTTGGATCACAACCCCTCTGGCTGAGCCATGTAAACATCCTCAGCCAACTTTCCGTTAAGGAAAGGCGGTCTTGACATCCATTTGCCAAATCTCATAATCATGAAATGCGGCAATTGCTAGCATCACTCTAATAGATTTAATCTTCGCAACTGGTGAGAAGGTCTCATCATAGTCAACTCCGGGAGTTTGAGTTAAAGCCCTTCGCAACCAATCGCGCTTTATATGTGTGTACGTTCCCATCCACGTCGGTCTTCTTCTTGAAGATCCACTTGCACCCACGGTCTTACGTTCGGGCACGTAATCAACCAAATTCCAAACTTGGTTATCGTACATGGATTGGATCTCGCTATCCATCGCCTCTTTCCATTTCGCAGACTCCGGGCCTGCCATGGCTTCCTTATAGCTATTAGGTTCATCAAGATTTACTAGTGTACCATCACTAATATACGTGTCCCCTTCGGTAGTAATATGAAAACCATAAAACTGGGGATGAACTCTAACTCTATCGGAACGTCTAAGAGGTAAGGATTCGTCAATCGGTTCAACCGGAGTTTCCTCCTCGGGTTGAATGCCAGCGGTAGAGGTTCCTTCATCTATCGACTCTTGAATCTCTTCAAGTTCGATTTGCCTCCCACTGTCTCCTTGGCTTATGAGTTCTCGCTCTCGGAAAACTCCTCTCCTCGCAACAAAAACAACATTGTCTTTCGGTCTATAGAAGAGATATCCAAAGGAAGTTTGCGGGTAGCCGATGAAAATACATCGCTCACTTCGAGGTTCAAGCTTGTCATGAGTATCTCGTCTTACGAAAGCCTCGCAACCCCAAACCTTGATATGTGCCAACGAGGGAGCTTTCCCCGTCCACATCTCGTGAGGTGTTTTGGCAACCTTCTTAGTAGGGACTCGGTTAAGGATATGGGCGGCAGTCTCTAAGGCATACCCCCAAAAGAAGATAGGTAGTGAAGCACGACTCATCATAGAGCGAACCATATCCAATAAGGTTCGATTACGCCTTTCTGCCACACCATTCAACTGCGGTGTCCTAGGAGGCGTCAATTGCGAAACTATTCCACACTCCTTGAGATAATCGTGGAATTCAAGACTTAGGTACTCTCCTCCTCGATCGGATCGAAGCATCTTGATTTTCCTGCCCAATTGATTCTCCACTTCATTCTTGAACTCTTTGAACTTTTCAAAGGTTTCTG